GCCCCCCCCTGCCGCTGGCCCCCCTCGCCTTGGGAGGGTCTGCCCGGCACTTCGGGGTGGCTTTTGCTTTTGTGGGCGGTGACGTTGTCTTTCTTCTCGAACTTCTTGCCGCAGATGTCGCAGGAGAACTGGTAGAAGGCGTCGGCGTCGTGTTTCTTCATGTGCCAGTTGAGGGAGGCTTTCTGGCGGCAGGTGAAGCCGCAGATCTCGCACCTGGGGGAAAAAAAAATGGGCTGCGATTCAACATAAAAAATTTTAAAAAAAAGGTATTAGGAGGGATTAAGCGCAAGGGAGAACTGTCCCCGCCTCGGCTTGATGCTGCGTTGTGAGGTGGGCTTAGCAAAGCCACCCCCCCGCCGCGCCGCGTTGGCTCTGTGTGGCTTCAGCACACCCTCCAGGCAAGGAAACGCATCGCGCTCGTTACGTCCCGGCTTATTAAGCTTTTCCCAATCAAGCCCCACGCCCTGAAGCTGCTGGATCAGAGCGGAGCCAACCCTGGAGCCAGAAAACTTTTTGGCAAAAGCAAAAAATAACAGCGAGCCCTCCGGCTGCCCACGGCGAGAAACCTGGCTCTCCCACCCACACTCGGAGAAGCTGCATTTGGGTTGCAAAGCGACGGGGAGACGCCCCGATGCCAACTGAAGCATCAGCGGTCGCACTGGGGGGACTGGGACTTACTGCAGGGGTTTCTCCCCGGTGTGGATGCGCCGGTGGATGATCAAGTTGCTGCTGGTACGAAAGGAACGGGCGCAGAACTCGCAGATATAGTTCCGCTTGTCTGGGGGGGGGGAGGGTAGACAAGAAAAGGATTTAGGGGGCTGATTTCAGCCTGGAAGAGCAGTCGGGGGGGGCTTTCAGGATGTATTTTAGGAGGCAGGATGCTTTCCCAGCACAGAAATGGGGATGATGAATGAGAGATCCCGGGAGCAGAAAGCAAACGGGGTGCAGCAACATCTACCCAGGGATGCAAAGGGGAGTGGTGAGGACGTGGGTCCGGTCAGCTGTAGCCCAGAAGTGGGACCAGCGCGGGAGGGGAGGTCTAGGGAGGTGTAGGGTGCCCGTGCCATGGTGGCCAACTCACCGCTGTGCAGTTTCTCATGCTCCTTGAGGTGCTTCTTGAAGTTGAAGGACTTGCCGCAGCTGGGGTCCGAGCAGGTAAAGGTGTTCTGGTGGACGTGCTGGTATTTCTTGTGGTGCTGCCATTTTGGGGAGAAAAAAGGGGGGGTTACAAAGAGAGGAGGTCAGCGCTGAGAAGCTGCACTTGGAGAAGCCCAAGGGCACCTTCCAGCGCCGACCTCCCCCCACCGTTTCGCTCCCTGAAGCACATGGTGGGACTTCAAGCAACCTCAGGCACGCCGAGCTGCTGCCGAAAACACGAGGTCACCAAGCCCCCTATTATCCAGCTTCGGAAAGCCACGGGCAATTTAAGTTGCCCAACTCCAGCTCTAGGGCAACAGCCGGGATGCCCAAAAAAGAGTGGGGACAGGGAAAACCTGACCCATCCAATGGGTCACCAAAGCTCCTGGTGGCCCCAGAAGAGACTGGGAGTGGGAGGGATGCTCGTCCCCAGCTCAGCTGCACCTCCCTGGAGCACAAGAGGGGGACTGGAGCACATCGGTTGCCCCCAGCCCTCACATTCAGGTACTGGCGGTTGGAGAAGATCTTGCCGCAGCCTTCATAGTCGCAGAGGAGGATCTCCCGCTTTGCCGCCTTCCTGCAGGAGAGGGTGGAAAAACCATGGCCGATGAGGATGAGCAGGGAAGAGAGCCGAAAAAGCCGTGGCTTTTGGATTTGACACCCCAGCAGGTCCTCCTCACCCATCTTCCCTCTTACCCACCCATCAAAAGCTTCATTTAAGGAACTAAAGCCCCTCAGGAGGCTCCTATCAGAGCAAACATTGCTTGCTAAGGGCGTCCCACCACCGAAGAGCGGAGCTGCACCTTCTCACCCTC